TAAATAGGGTAAGAAAAAAAATATTTTCAAAAATAAAAAGAAGAGATATTTTAATAAAAGCATCGTCATCACTAGACTTTTCATTCTTTTGCCTCGTTTGATAATCAAATGACATGAAAGGTATTCATCACTGGGTTTGGTTTTGGGGAGACACATTTGGGTGTCTACAGGGGGCTTGGGGTACTGTTTTCAAGGCAAGCAAATTTAGCTTTTTCTGACAAAGCTTGGGTGGAGATTATTCACCGAGCCACATGCTCTATGGTAAAGTGTGGTTCGAAGCAAATATTGTAAAGGGAGCGAGATGCGATGTGAATATGTTCAAAGAAAATTCGAACATGTCTAATGTATGGAAAGGGATTACCGAAGCTGTAAGCATTATTAGTATAGGGGCTTGAGTAGCTGTGAGTGATGGAACAACTACTCTTTTTTAGGACCATAGGTGGGCTAACTCGAAACCATTGAGGGAGGCAGAAATTGCAAGTATTCCTCTACACATAGAAGGAGATATTGTCGCTGAAATGTGGGATGAAAACCCAGGCTGAAAATGGTCAATGTTTGTCGATATCTTACCTCAAGGAACTTTGCGTGAAATTGAAGCCCATAGTCTCACCAAAAATCCGGAGAGGGGTGACTTCTTGTACTGGAATAATGGCTCAAAGGGGAGGCTCTCTATTTATTCAGCTCTGCAATAATCTGACGTGACGATGAAGAGTAGGAAGATGGTTCATGGGAGCTTGTTTGGCGCTTGAGAGTGCAGCACCGCATAAGAGTTTTCCTATGGCTGGTTTTACATGACAGAGTTATGACCAATGCTAACAGATTACAACGATCCTTGACTAAGGATCCGTGTTGTAAGATCTATGTAAATAAAGAAGAGAGTACTCTTCACATGTTGAGGGATTGTAAAGCTGCTTAAGAAGTATGGCTTCAAGTTAGGGGTCCTGCAAATGCTCATGACTTTCATAATGGCTCATTAAAGCAGTGGATAACTCAAAACATCAAGGTACAGTATCACAATAATATGTCCCCTGAAATTTGGCCTACATATTTTGTTATTGTAATATGGTGGATATGGAGGTGGAGATGTGCTGTGGCTTTTGACAAAACAGGTGAAATCCTGGTGGATGTCAAGCAATTTTTGCTAGACAGATTCGAAGAGGTTTAAGGGTAATGGGTGATGGTATTGGTGAAAGCTCTCAAATAGCTGCTAGAAGAGAGGCTTTTATAAAATGGTCTGCTCCTTTGATAGGGTGGTTTGCATTGAACTCTGATGGTGCAGCAAGAGGAGATCACTTCTAGAAAATAGCTGAATTCCGACGGAGTGCTTCCGACGGACCCAATATTCCGTCGGAAAAAGGGAAATTTACGACGGATTTTTTTTTCGTCGGAAATTTCCGACGAATTCATTGATTCCGTCGAAAATTCGTCGAAAATTTCCGACGGAATAAATATCCGTCGGAATTTTTGTATTTTCCAACGGAATTTTCCGTCGGAAATTACCTTTTCCGACGGATTTATAGTCCGTCGGAAGTTTCCGACGGAATATTCCGTCGCAACATAATTTCTTTTAAAAAAAAAAAAAACCATTTCCGCTACAAAACCCTAAACGAAGATGAGAAGCCAACCCGCCTCTTTTTTCTTCTCCTCTCCACTCTCTCTCTTCTCCCTTTATATTCCTCTCACTCTCTCTCATCTGCTTCTCTCTCCTCTCGTTCTCCCTCTTCTCTTCTTCTCTCGATCTCCTCTCCTCCTCTCTCTGTCTTTCCTCTTCTCTCTGTTCTCTCTCCTCTCGTTCTCCTGTACTTTCCCCTCTTTCGACCACCACATCACGGCATCAACAACAAAACACCACCGTCATCAACAACACACCAACGACATCAACAACAATTAACCACCGACATCAACAACAACAAAGGTTAACTACTTGAAAGGTTTTTTAGGCCAAATTCGCCCATGAAAAGTTTAGATCTAGACTTTTCATGGCCGAATTTGGCCTTGTTAAACCGTTTCCGTGGTGAAATTCGAAGCATATTTCAATTTCAGGTATGTTTTATGTTTTAATTTTTCGATTTTTGTTTCCGATTATTATTATTTTTTTTTTTTTAAATATGGATTTCGGTGGTGGTGGTGGGTGTGGCTGATGTGCGTGCGTTTAGCATTTGCAGTGGTTTGTGGTGGCTGTGAGATCTGGGCTTAGGTGGGGTCGGGTTTGGTCGGGTCTAGGTTAGGGTTTGGGTGTTTAGGTGGGTGGATCATGGTATGGGTAAAGGTGGGGTTTTGGTTAGAGTTCGGTCAGGGTGAAGGTAAGGTGTTGGTGGTGCTGTGGATAGGTTAGGGTGGTTGTGGTGGTGGTGCTGTGGATAGGTTAGGGTTAGGAAGTAGGTGTGGTTGGGGTTGACAGGGGTGTTTTGGGTGGTTGGAGGTGGTGCTACGCCGTGCCGGTGGTGGTGCGGCGTATTTTTTTGATTTCTTGAAATTGTTTTCCAACGGAATTTTCGTCGGAAATTTCCGACCGAATTCTAAATTTCGTCGGAAATTTCCAACGGATTTTGCCGGTGCTAGAAACTGACTCACGACGGAAAATTCCGTCGGAATTTCTGTTGGAATAGTGTTTCCGACAGAAATTTCGTCGGAAAAGGTCATTTTTCCTACAAACGCTTTTCCGACAACCATTTTCGACGGAATTTCGTCGGAAACACCTTTTTCGACGGATTTCAAGGTGTTTTCGACGGAATTTTTCTGTCGGAAATTGGCCTATTACTAGTAGTGGCTTCTGGGCCACCTGGTGGGGGAGGAATAATTAGGGACAGTACGGGTAGGATAAACTATGCTTATTCTCTTAAACTTGGCCATTGTGGTGCATTCAAGGCAGAGGTCCTAGTTGTTGAATATGCATGGCTTGGAGTTGTCTTGTAGAATGGGAATCAATAAGTTGCAGGTGCAATTGGATAACAAATCGGTTGTGCAAATTTTTAACAGTGAGGATAATTATATGGGTGAGTGTGTTCATGATGTCATTCATTGTAAGGAGCTAATTAAGAAGTCGGATTGGGAAAAGGAAGTGAAACATATATATCGTGAAGCAAATCAAGCGACAGATTGACTAGCTAATCAAGGTGTTATCCAATATAACAAATTTGAGTTGATTCAAGTTCCCCCTTTAGCTTTAGGGCGTATTTTGCATAATGGTGTAGTTGGTGTGGCTATGTCACAATTTGTACCCCTTAGTTTTTTATTTGAGTTTTCTTTTTCCCGGTGCCTAGCCCTCATCTGCACCAGCAACAAAAAAAAAAATCAATTATGATATATGAATAGTGTAAAATTCCAACTCTTGCTTAAAAAAAAAAGAGAGAGAGAGTACATAACATAGATTGAAAAATTCAATCTAATTACTTTACACATTTATGCAATGTGATTATTGAAAATAAAATAAAACCCGTAATACTTACTAAGGGGCCGTTTGGTTGGGGTCAATAATCAAAGGGAATCGAAATGAACTGATATCATTCCCTTTGTTGTTGTCTGTTTGTCACTTTTTATTCCCTTTACCCATTTTTATTTTTGAGTTCACCCATTTTTGGTCTACATTGATTTCCCACCCCCCTAGACTTTCCCATTCCCTTTCGCTAGCCACCATACCCACCACCGTTCTACTTGCCGGAACTTGCCCAACCACCTCGTCGTGGACCCAGTCACCTCGCCGGAACTCGCCGCACTCCCCCCATCTCGCCGGAGCCCACGCACCTCCCCCACCTCTCCCCTCGAAAATACCTCCGATCCTCTCCCCGGAAAATGGGCAAATCCGCCATTGACGCAACAGGGGAGCTCCTGATCAAAATCCCATCAACCATAGTCTACCTAATCGACAACCAACAAAGCATCGAGCTAGCATATGGCGATCTCGAAATCATCCTCCTCTGTCAAAACTGATGTTGCCGTTTTAGCAAGAATCGGAGATCAACTCCAATGGCCTTTAACAAAAGACGAAGGCTCCCTCAAACTAGACGACTCTCACTACTTCTTCACACTCTCCTCCAACGACGATGTTTTGAATCGGAGATCAAAAGGACTGGAAACTCTGCTGAAAAAACTCTGATGGTGTTTTCTAGGGTTTTTGCATGGGTGGTGGAATTTTTTCCGAGGAGGGTAGGGGCTGTGAGGGGTGGGGGAGGTGCGCCGAGGGACGAAGATTCTCATCGACGTTGTGGCTGGGCGGTGGGGTGGCTCGTTGTGGCTGGAATAGTGAAGAAAGGGGATGTGTGGTGGTGGTGGTGATTCCTTTTGTATTTTGAAAACCAAACAACATACTACTTGGAAGGGTTTCATTCCATTCTCCTACATTCCCTTTGTTCATTCCATTCCGATTCCCCTGCGCGAAACAAACGACCCCTAAAATATATTTTAAGAAAGTTGATTATGGGATACTAATTATCCTAAAGCAATATAAATCAATTAAATTTTCATACTACCTCCGTTAATTAAAATGTGCAACAAAGGAGTATTATTTATGAGACATAAAATATTCATTTGTTGCACATAATAATTAACGGAGGTATTATTATGTCGGGCAAAGTGTGCCAAAAAAATATAAGGACAAATGTAGTATTTTCAAATACTTATATAAAACCTTATAACTTCTAAATTTCTATTTCTATTACTATATTATTGTGTTTTTATAAACTTCAATTCAATAACCATGACACGTCACATAACATAGTCTAGAGATAAAATACCACCATAAGGTTGAATTATTCTCATTAAATTTTTCTAATTTTTATCTTATGAAATTTGAGCATGACAAATTTTTATTTTTTAGTGTTTAGAGAGCTACTAGAATGGGGATGAGAATCAATATCACTATCAAATAAGGAGGGAAGCTCTTACCACTTGAGCTCGGATGATATTAACCTTACACGTGCTCCAAAATATACCATTGATTGAGTCATCTTTCAACTTATACTTCCCTTTCCTTCCTCACATATCCTTGTCACACTCTCCGACTCTCTCCTCGTCATTTTTTATTTCCTTCCTCACATATATGTGTCCAACGGGACACTCTTTAAATAACACATCGTGAAGACCCTAAACTTTCCACTTTACTTCAAATCAAAACAAAACCGGAAGTTTCTCAAAAAGTACTCTCAAACACAAACACAAACCCAAAGAAGAAAAAAAAAACAGTTTCTCAAAATAAAAATGGCAGATTGGGGACCAGTGGTTATTGCGGTGGTGCTATTCGTTCTTCTTACACCAGGCTTACTCTTCCAAATACCCGGCCGCGGCCGTATCATTGAGTTTGGTAATATGCAAACCAGTGGCGCCGCTATCGTCGTACACGGGATCATTTACTTTGGTTTAATTACCATCTTCCTTATTGCTATTGGTGTTCACATCTACGCTGGTTAGCTTTACTTTGTTGATTTCATGTAAAGTAGATTTGATTCCACTGAATATTCAAAACAATGTCAAGTAGTATTATTATTGGAAGCTTTGAAAGATTTATTAAATGTATTGTTATTTTGCTTTTGGATCTAGAAAGTTGCTTTTAATTTGTGTTTTCTCGTTTTTTTTTTTTTTTGTTTTATTGTCATTTTTTATTGGTATGATTTCTGGGCAATTATTATGGTTTTTGACATTGAGGGGATTTGATTACTGATTGGTGTATTAAAGAGAAATTGGTGGGTATTTTTGATTATTTTAACGGATTTTCCGAGGGTTTGGGTAGTTTGTTAACTTGTTTTTATAAAATGAATCTAATTTTGTGTGAGAAAATGGGGAGCGCTAAATTTGTGATATCATTGAAATTGGTAGTAGTAATATGTACTTCTAAATTTTTTTTGCAACGAATTTGTACATCTAAGAAAATGGTTTAAGTTGTAATCAATTTCGAATTAGCAATAACATTCTATTCTTATGTGATGATAACTTAAGCTTAATTCCGATCCGTGATTAAACTTGACTATAGTTTATACAATTATACACAAATACAGAGTAAACATGTAAACCATTTATAACAATGAATTACTCCTTACTATATAAGGAGGTATGCGATAGTATCAATTAATCATTTCAATTCGATATTATCTTAAATAAGAAACTAATCTTGCATATGGTTGGTTGTATAAGAAACTAATCTAGTAATCTTGCATATGGTTGTCAATAAAGACAATTTGACTATATTGTAGAAAGTGACAAAAATGACTACGAAATAAATGAGACGTACACCTATTCTAAATCCAGGGACAAAATTTCGTATAATATTTACTCGTACAGTTGTACCGTTTTTCTACTATGGTGTAGCCGTGTAGGTAATGAGAGTAGTTGTGCTTATTTATTCTAGAATCATCCTCTCATGTTCATCATGCAATAAACATGCCGTTAGAATGACTGAAATACTGAATGAGTCGTTTTCATATGTAATACTCCATATTGTCGTAGTGTATTAAGGGATGAGCTAAATAAACTTTTTTTCTTTTCTTTTGTTTGGATTAGCATATCGTTTTTCTTAAAGAAACTTTTTATAAAAGAAACTTTATGTAAGGAGCACGTATGATACGACGAAAGGGTAAGATAGGATGATAGAATATTGTAATTACGAATCTTAATTGGAGTGCATTCTCTTAGATTAAGAAAGGTGGCTTCAAATTTCAATATGGAGAGTGATTCCTGTCTGACCTGGCTTCTAATGATTTTTATACTTATACGAGTAGTATTTTATTGGAGATTTTCACGAATAATCATCTAATACATTGATTTTCGTAATCGTATGGAGATGATATGAAAAAGTTAAACATAGCACTCCTTATTGTCTCATAATATAGTTTGCATTTTTCATGGAAATAAACAAAAACACTGAGATAAAGAGTATTTTAAGAACAAATTATTAATGCACTAATATTTGAATAAAAAATATATATGAAAAATAAAAGCAATACAAAACTATAATGTATATATATACCTTAATGACCCCAAGTTTCCCTATTTTCTCCATAAAAAATTGTTTATATGCCCTATGAAATCTTATTATAGCATTATATTTATGTCTCTTCACCAAATATCAAAATGGGCAAAATGGCATTATTTAGGAATATTTGATTGTGAATTTGTGATACCTTTGATGACTGAATATAATATGGAATGATTCTCTACATAAATAGGGTGATCAAAACAAGCTCTTAGTCTATTCTACATGATCATAATTTCTCTACCTTTGGTGTTCATTAAAATTATACATGATTCAAAGCAAGACCATACCCGAAAAGCCTTAACAACATCATTTACATAGGCTCCGACGAATACTTTGCTTCATTCATTGAATTCACCAAGCTGCCTATACACAAGATATCAATATCTCCTATAATCATTATTAATCGCGGTCATACCATTGACATCTTCAAAGGCAATTCGCTCTCATGAGAAGCCATAGACGAGAGCGAGCCTCCATAAGATCCGTGGTTGTTGTGGTGCTCGCCTTGGGCCACTGAATCACCAAAATGAACCTGCTTTGAGGTATCTCCCTTAGAAGAATAGTTATTATTTGTGGTGTCATTTGTGTTACCATTTTCTAAGTTAACACCACCTTCAACAGTAGCTTCGGTGTTGCCACAATCACCATTACGAATTGTATTGCTAGGTAACACGCTCTTTCCCCAACAAACCATCCTAAACCCGAGGGCTCGGGAGAGGATTCGATAAAGGACGGTGACGACCCAAAAAAACCAAGGTAGACAAACTAGAGTGATGCCGATGACCGGGTACCAAGATGTGGCGGGAGTTTCAGGTTGGGTCATGTAGAGCACCAAGAAGGTGCCTCCGGAAAGAATGCAGGTCAAAAGAAATACTGTAATGACCCATATGTAACATCTTGGTGTTAGAGTGAATGCTGACATTGGTGGTTTTTATTGCTCCTCAAAAATGATAACAATAATAAGAAAATATGGAGATTATTAAGGGTGGTTTCATTACTTTTAACGTGTGGAAAATAAAATTTGATGTTTGTTTGATTATAGGCCCATTTTCTTCATCCTTGATGCATGAGAAAATGGGCAAAAATAAAAAGAATGTAAGAATCTATAAAGTTAGGAATAAATTGAATGAGAATTAATTAATTAAGCAGGTTAAATGTGCATAGAAGAATTGTTGATGGAGATAGAATTATGGTAAAATTGTTGTGTTTCAACAAATTTTCTCTCTCAATGAAGACGATGGTAGGCGGTAAGATAGGTTTCTCTCTCCCCCCTAAATCAAGGAAGGCTAAAAGGGTGAGAGAGAAGCGGGTTGTTTTTTGCTCTTGTTTTAACGGATGTTATTATTGGTGTGGTAACAAATTTTCTCTTTTTATTTATATATATATATTTTTTTTTATAATTTTGTTATAGAATTATTCATATAGATAGTATGATTTTATTTTGTTTTTCCTAGGATTTTAAAAGTCTAAACACACTTAATAAGTTAATTGGACAAGAATTTAATTTTCACAACCTTTAATGCAAACATTATTTACCATTCTAGATGTAGGTAGTCCTTAAGTTTTGGATAGACGTGCTCTCAAAGTCTCAAGTTTGGAGTTGGATAGATTCTACTTGTTTATAATGTGTCGTCTAGCTGGACACATTTAAACCGATTCAAATCCATGACTCTGCCATATGTTTAAACTAATATATTAAAAAAAAAAAGTGTTCTTAATAAGGGCATGTTCTGATTGACTGAATTGAGCTGAACTGAAATATTAAAAAAAAAAAAAAATTATTCTTAATAAAGGCATGTTCTGATTAACTAAATTGAGCTGAACTGAATTGAACAGAATTTTTTATGAGAGAAGGAAATTAAGAACAAAATGAACTTATTAGAGCTGAACTAAACTTAATTGAATTGAACTGAACTGAATATAATCTGAAGAGAACAGGCCCTAATTCACGTGTCATATATTTATACATTAAATATGAATGAGCCAAAGTTCTTTAGATATTTAGAGTTCCTTAAGGTTAAATAAAATTTGAATATTATACAAGCTCTTAATTGATGGTGGCTATTTCAGAGCTTGATCATAAAAATTGCTTTGGTGATGCAAAATGTCAAAAAATAAAAAAAGGAAAAATGGAAAAGAAAAATTCAACCTTTGCACTTTTTCCTTACAAAAATCCAACCTTTAGTTTATTCCTCAAAAATCCAACCTTTATACCCCTCCTTCCCCAACAGGTCCATTTTACCTTTTACCTGATTAACTGGTAAACTTTTTATTTTTCCCTCCTTCACCCTTTCTTCCTTAATCGTATTCATCTCTCTCCTTAACGAATTTTCCCAGCAAAAATTAAACGCCATTTTCATTCTTTCGAAAGCTTGAAAAAATCCAGGCTTTCCCTAATTTTTTTTCATTTGGAAGTCCTCAAAGGTTGTGTCTTTGCCTGCGGAAGAGTAATTGGGGAAAGATAATCGACATTGCAATTGTTAAGGTAAATCGTCGAACCCTAATTCTGCGTTTTGGAGAATTTGCTTAATTGGAGTGATTTAAGTGCTTGTTTAGTTATTTATTGTAGTTTAAAGTTAGTTTTGGTTTATATAATTGCGAATATGGTTGATGTTTGCCTGAAAATTTATCATGGGGGCAAGTTTAAATTGAACAACAATGGTGTGTGGGGTTATTTCGGAGGGCAGTATAATACTTTTGATGTTGATCCTGATGAGTTTTGTTGGTTTTATATGGAAGAGTTAATTGCTAAATGTGGTAATTATGCTGAAAAGTACTTGCTTTACTATTTACTTCCTAGGTGTGAGTTTGGGGAAGGGTTGAGGAATGTCTGTAATGATGATGAGTTCAGGAAAATGGCTGAACTGATTGTGAACAGTAGAGAATTAGACATGTATGTGGTGCATGATGATGTTGAACCTGATGTGTTAGTCCAATCCCAAACTGGATCCACTAACAAAAACCAGCCCAAACTGAAGTCAACTAAGTCCAGTAGGCCCAGAAAAATGATTCCCAGGAGGGCTAGTACATTGACCCAGGAGTCAATTGTTGTGGGAGATAAGATTCCTTCCCCCACTTGCAATAAAGAATCAGAATTTCACATGGCCCCCCCTCGAACAGCCAACAACCTAACAGCTTCTAAAAGCATTCTTGTCCCCTGTGAATCTACCCCAATCCCTTCTGAAACACAAGAAAACCCTATTGAAAAACCAGATCCCCAATTTGAAGCCAAAAAACCACCTTCAACTCCATCAAAATTCATTAGGTCTGTTGTGCCTGATGACTATGACTGGGAAGACAACAGACCAGACAGTCCAATCCCTTTAGACACCTTCCTCTGGGGTGAACCTTATGATGATGAGGATGATGGTGATGATGAGAGGGATGGTGATTTTGTAGTGGAGAATGAGCCTGAATGGGATACTGATTGTGAAGAATTGTGTGAGGAAGATTATCTAAACAAGGAAAAATTGGTTGACTGTGAAGAGGAGGATTGGCTTGGTGACTATGAGATTTATGATGCAAACTTTGGGTCTGGTGGGGTGGATGGTGAGCCCAATGATCTTG